TCTCTGCCCCTCCCACAATGGTGAGATTTCCCCCAGTAGTTTGTGTCTCTGCCCCTCCCACAATGGTGAGATTCCCCCCAGTAGTTTGTGTCTCTGCCCCTCCCACAATGCTGAGATTTCCTCCAGTAGTTTGTTTCTCTGCCCCTCCCCCAATGGTGAGATTTCCTCCAGTAGTTTGTGTCTCTACCCCTCCCACAATGGTGAGATTTCCCCCAGTAGTTTGTGTCTCTGCCCCTCCCACAATGGTGAGATTCCCCTCCCCCTGTTTGTGTCCTCATTACCCCTCCCTCATCCTCACCTGGTAGCTGATTTTCGGGCCGAGAGTCGGATGGAATTCGCTGAAGAAAATACATTCGATTCTGCGGCTGGACATCACTGCAGAAAGGAAACATAATGCGTCATTTATAATCGGTTGAAGGACATTGATGGGACTCACGGCTGTCATCCTCATCCTTGCTACACCCCCTTGTGAGTGGATGACTTGGAATGAACACTCAGGTCAGGAGCTCTGAGCCCAACAAGGATGACACCAGCACCGCTGACTACCAACAGGACACACAATCCTTCTTTTGGCATCTCAGTGCTGCTTATCTCATGCAGCCTCTTTCCTGCCACTTCCTGTCTACATACACTCCAGTGAAGGCTGCATGACATTTCTCAGCACGGGTTTACTGATGGTGACAACAGTGGACCATGTCTGTGTAATGTGTCTTGTAATGGCCACTTGTAGTCTCCATCAGAAGCCCGTGTGAAATTGTGACAACTCTGAAGAACAATTGGAAGACAGGACAGAGCGTTGTCACCCTTTAACAGGAAGTGACTGAACAAAGACCTCCATGGCAGGGTCACCAGGGATTATTATAATGAAAGCTGCAGATAGATGTAGACCCAATCACTGGACTCTCCTATGAGCCCTGTATATCTGAATATGACTGTCGGGGGTCCTGGGGGGGTCACTACTAACCGGGGCCAGTGAGTGTGTCCCCAGAGGATGTCAGCTTCTATCAGTACAGCCGGGGACACCATCCAGAATACTTCACATCTCAGCAATACTCACTTAGGGCTCAGCAGACCCCTCCTACAAAGGTCCAGAGATCCCTCTTCCAATGTTCGGGTCCAGAGATCCCTCTTCCAATGTCCGGTTCCAGAGATCCCTCTTCCAATGTTCGGGTCCAGAGATCCCTCTTCCAATGTTCGGGTCCAGAGGTCCCTCTTCCAATGTTCGGGTCCAGAGGTCCCTCTTACAATGTTCAGGTCCAGGGGTCCCTCTTACAATGTTCGGGTCCAGAGATCCCTCTTACAATGTTCGGGTCCAGAGATCCCTCTTACAATGTTCGGGCCCGGAGATCCCTCCTATAATGTTCGGGTCCAGAGATCCCTCCTATAATGATGCAGTCCGAGGATTCTTCATACAATGTTTCTCTTCCAGTGTCACACCATTGCACTTTCTGCGCTTCAAGCCTCCCTCCCGCTAAGCCCCGCCCCCTCAGCTCTGATTGGTCAGATCTTTGTCGTTTGAATCCCGAACTAAGCTATAGAACACCGGAACAGACTGGCAGGGGGCGGGCACAATTGATGATTGGCAGGGCGTTGGCCTAATAGAGTGCGCGTGGCGGAGTGTTTCCTGACGGGAGACCGGAAGTGAGTGGCCAGGAGCCAGATGACAGCTGAGGGTAACTTGTTACATTGTATCCTC